CACACACACACACACACACATACACACACACACACACTCTTCTTTCTTTTCCCTTCCATCTCCTTTTTTCTCTGTCTTTCTCTAAAGTTAAAATACTGCAATGCTATCAAACACCTATAAATCAGGCCCACAGATTTAAAAAAAGTTCAAACAAACTCTAATAATCACAATGGTAAATCTTTTTGAACGTGAACTGTTTGCTTTACTGAAAACAAGATCAAAAGTATACGAAGGACGGGATAAAACCCACACCACTGTTAGATAAGAACCTCTGACGTCGGCATATTGGCGAAGTCCGACAAACGGTTTTCCCTTCTTTTCTGAACCTTTTTTTAGGGGGGGGGGGTGTAATAACAGGTGTACGGACTCAGCGCACACGATTTGGAGAATCGCGCTATACCCCAACGGTGAATATCGCCTACGCCTAAATGCTCAAATGTTAGTATGTAATATTCACTTTGGTGTATCGTCTCTGTGTTTATTTTCCTCCATTCTTCCCATTCTTCCTTTTTTCTCCGTTCATTGGGTCAAGTGCCTCGCCTGCAAAACAAACTATTGGTGCTCGTAAGGCGTTTTTGCTTTAGTTAACGCCAGTTTGCTTTAGTGAATGCCATTCTAATTATAAGTAACTGTTGAAATAATTTTGGCTTTTTTAAAAAGAATTGCTAGACTGGACCTATGGTCGACAGATCTATCCGGAAAAAAAAGAGTAGACAGAAAACACCGTGAAACGGTGAAAATTGACACTTCAACGCGGGAAAGGTTTTCACGCATCAGTGGTACCCAACCTTCTGGGGAACGGCAACCCTTTCAGTTGGACAGCGGGTATTCTGAGCCTTGTTGCATTCAGAGTCGGTATTGTATGTAATTCATTTATTTTTCTGATTATTGTAACTGTTTTACCCCCTAATTAACGCAGTTTAGATCTATAGGCGGGGTGTTTCTTTTCTTTTTTTTGTGGCAAGTGTTTTACGACGTTCGTAAAATTATACGGTCATATGAGCGCGCGGGACACATTAAACATTTTCAGTTGGTAGGAAATTTTAAATTTTGCCCGGGTGGCGGCCGAAGCCTACTCTTATCGATTTTAGACCACCAAGGGATCATTAACGCACGCAACCTCCACACGGGACCTGCGAGATGTTTCGCTCTTGTCCGAAAAGAGTAAGTGTAGATCTTTCCTACCAGAACATCAGGGGTGTGGCTGAAAGACAGCAGTAAGAAAAAGCCAAGGAGTAAAAGTAGAAAGGCTGCAGAAAGAGTCAGAAACCCCGTGGAGGGGGCAGAGGAGGTGAGATGTTGGAGGCAGAAAGTCGAGTCGAAAGCAGACGACAGAACATTGCTAAAGAGCAGGAAAGGTGAAAGGAGACAATTTTAAACAAGGAAATTTTTCGGTGGTTACCCGGATTCGAACCCGGGACCTTTGAATGAGAGGCGAACACCTTAACCTCTAGGCCACGAGAG